GTGTGAAAAAAGGTGAGATAAAAGGTGTGAAAAAAGATGAGAAAAAAGTGAGAAAAAAGGTGTGAAAAAAGGTGAGAAAAAAGGTGTGAAAAAAGGTGAGAAAAAAGTGAAAAAAAGTGAGAAAAAAGGTGTGAAAAAAAGTGAAAAAAAATGAAAAAAAAGATGAGAAAAAAGGTGAAAAAAAGGTGTGAAAAAAGATGTGAAAAAAGATGAAAAAAAGTGTGAAAAAAAGTGAAAAAAAGGTGTGAAAAAAGGTGAGAAAAAAAGGTAAAAAAAAAGGTGTGAAAAAGGTTTTAGAAATTGTTTGATTTTTTAAAATGGCTATAACTTGAAAAATTTAAGTTGGAATCAGCTCAAACTTTCTAAGGACATTAATATATATCAGAAAATGTAATAAAAATTGTGGGTGATTTTAGAGCCATTTTTTGGAAAAAACCATGGGCTATAGTACAGGGCATCTTTTAGAAATCGGCCTGTTTTTTAAAATGGTCATAACTCGAAAAATTTAAGTCTGAATCAGCTCAAACTTGCTACATAGCATAAGGACATCAATATGTATCAAAAAATGTAATAAAAATTGGGAGTGATTTTGGAGCCATTTTTTGGAAAAAACCATGGGCTATAATAACCTTTTCTTTTTTAAAAAATGGCTACTTCTTTTAAAATGGCATACATATGATGTTATGCTTACCCATTTCCCAGTCACTTTAAGTGTGAATCTTTTTCCCTTATATGCCACTTGTACTAAACGATTCCTACACAAAGAACAATAAAGGTTAGTTAAAGCAACTCATATTTTGAAAAGCTATAGAAGTATAGGGGCTGGCTTACCAGGTATAAGACTGTGCAATCATAAACTCTTTGCAAAGAAACACTCCGTGTGGCGATAGACCAAGAACATAAGGCATTTTTTCCTCACACTATAAAGAGAAGAAGTGTCATATAGTATCCCCATCCATATGGCACAAGTGCATAAGTATATACTGAATACATATGCATAAATACATATCGGTGCAATCTGGAAAATATCATAAATTCAATAAATATGTGTTTGTATACATTTGCATGTAAATGTATACAAAGTAATTATCTAAAAAGCTTTTAAAGGAGAGTGGAAGTTTTGTTAACCTTTGTAAACCAGTCAGGAAGTAAATTACTACCATTTCCTTAGTTCAACTGGATTCATAGACACTAATATTGCATTATCACATTACAATGAGGAGGTGTTAGCATTGTGAATTGAGTCATGTCTGATCTGATGGTGTTAAAACTTATCAACTAAAAATCCTTTTATTAGCTACACTGTATATAGTACCATCAGATTTCCTAATAGCAATACTATGCAAACTTTATTCTTTACAATAAAAAAATTTGTTCTCTTTTGTTGAATAATAAAAAAATAATAATGGCAATTAGTAATAACAATTTTACTTTTATTTCTGCTTATTCTATTTTATCTATCTTATTTTATTTTATTTTTTATTTCTCTTCACTAATTTTTGTTCATCCTACATCTAAGTGCTCTTTCTGTGTTTTTATAATAATAATAATAATAATAATAATAATAATAGTAATAAGCTTTATGCTATGCACAACTTTAAATAAGGGAAAGACATTCATCTAATTAGTTCTACACAATAGCATTTAACTTTATAAAGCAGCTACACTATGCATAGTGCCTTCTTTTGTGCATTAAAAATGCTACAATTAATACCAATATAAACTATTATCTTATGATAGTGGTAGGAAGAGAGAGACAGGGACAGGATGAACAAGAGGAAAGTGCCACCTCCCAAATCCTTTAGTCTGTCACATTTTAATAACAAAATAATGAGATAAACCACAATCAAGCCACAACAGGGCAAAATCACTGATGAACATAATCAATGTATGGACTACATATTTATAACTGAAGTATAACCAGCCAATATATTGGATCAGTTATTGTTGTAGTGACTGGCTCTTGATAGCCATTACGCAATATGGAGCAGGTAATGAATGACTTATGCCAAAAAAATAATATCACCGGAACTTACATTAAACTACATGCATGTACGTATATAGTGCATGCATACTAGAATACACTATGTCATATAGTAGCTTATGCCTGACAAGTAGCTGTGCCAATTAATAGTACAATAGTACGTGTACTTTCTGGTAAGTTCCTGTGACACATCAATGACGTTATTGACACACTACAGTTAGAGCTACTGTGTGGCTTAATTACCTTTACTTCAAAGAATATCATGCCATAGAAATCAAGACGACTAGCAATGTCAAGGAATTCAGTCATAGCCTCAATTGGAGTCATTCCCCTATAGGAGAGAGAGAGTGAGAGAGGGAGGGAGGGAGAGAGAGAGAGAGAGAGAGAGAGAGAGAGAGGAGTAGGGGATGGAAATAAGGTGAGAATGAGTACATGTACATGCGTACATGCACACTGACATTTCCTGTACATAATGATTTAAAACCAATGAACTCAATGGGCAAAGATGATCCAAAATATCAATTATTAAACTATGCAGTATGTATATGTACATAGCTACATGTGTATTTAGTACTAATTAATGCTATTTCCTTGCTTTCCGAGAAGTGTTGCCTTCTGCTACTGTTTACACTACAAGGATTGCTTGGAATGAACATCTTGTAGGGAGCAAAACAGAGTGAGAGAGGAAGGGAGAGGAGAGAAAACAATACAAATTATAAGAGAAGCAAAAACAGAGAGCGATCCTAGACCACAACGACCGCATATTGAATGTCCCATCTATCAACTATCCAGTTACAATACAGTGCTTATGACGCACAACATTTCGCAATGCGTCTCAGGCTGCAGTATAAACAATGAAACTGAGTAATAGGAAAGTAAATAGAACTGTCTCTTGCTAAAAGAAAATGACTAAAAATCAAATTAGACAAATAACTATCTATTGATTATTATTATATATGCAGTAGCCTATATGTAGGATTGAGGTCGAATTTTCAAGATGGTGGCCGTTTTTATGATTTTCAAACAAAACTCTTATAATAATTATTATTAAGCACAAGGTATGAGTACTGATTAATAAATGCATGCATATATACTTATGTCTGTATACATACAGTGAGTTTAGAAAAAATATTAATAATATCATTTCTCTGGTATCCGTAACTGAAAGACAAACTTTTTACTCACTCACTGCCTCTTCCTTTCGCATTACTCCCAATAGCCTCCAACCAAATCCTTAGAAGCAGGAAAAAATAAAAATTCCAAGCATATGTCACTACAACAACAACTGCTAGTAATTCGTGTAGGCATACAATTCCAAGAAGAGCATCTTCATATCCCAATCTGGCCCAGGGCCACACACATATACACATACCGGTCATTTATTATAGCATAAAGCAGTATTCCTGTACATTATACTAACGCTATAGTCCTCCATTATCATATTACATTTTTTATTCTTGCTATATCAAAACAATGAAATCATCGTGCGCACATGTATGGTACATGTACTGTATATGTACAGTACATGTACATGAATACTTCCATTAGGAACATTCAGGGAAACATGTATTATTATTATCATTATTATTATTGGTATACATTTGTAGTTAAAAATTAGAATAAAGAGTTTAGTAAAACATTACGTCAGATTATATAAATGTATACACATGAGGGGACGTACGTGTTGAGGATAAAGGATTCACGTAATTAATTTTCCTAGTAATAGTAATGAGATTATCAGTACAGTGTTTCTATTGGGAGACCATAGAATAGAGGCACTGGTGGATTGAGATTAAAGAATGACATCACTTGAGTTATTATTATTACGATGAAATCATTCTTTTACTGAGAATTGTTTCTCAGAATGACAAATACATGTAATAGAACCATTAGCTCTTTATGAACACATTAGGTGCTCTCATAAATTTCTAATTACAAAAATAAGCTACTAGCATTTCAAAACTATTTTGCATATATACATACAGATACACATACATAAAATAGTACAATAAATGATTCCTAATAATTTGACTATAAAAATATCATAGAAATTATGTCCTATAATAATAAGATTCCAATACATACAGCATCACTACTGCATTTAAAAATGATGTCGTATAGCTCACAGAACTCAGAGCATTACTATTCTCAGCCAGTGAATATGCAGGTGCCGATACGACACATGTTATTGATTTGCCTCAATGGTTTTAAATGCTAAGGCACCCATCCATACAATATGTACATTACTACTCTGTGTGTGTCTACGTTTTTGTGCAGGAGGAACTAACTTGAATTTTTTGTGCTGCTCCACGATGTTTTCCTTTAGATTCTCAAACTGGAATACAAAAAAATAATTCAAACTATAATTATGTACATTTCATGAAATCCCTCACTTCTTGATTGTGGAGTCCAAGAGTGAGGAGATATTCTTCTCTCGGCTCTAACCAATCACACAACTCAGCTACAAAATAAATAATATAAAATATAATTATAATAAGAATAAGTACATTACACCTTCATTATTACAGTAATTGCATGATACGTGACATACTTCATAGTGTCACTGGTATCCACAAACAAAATAATCACTAATAAATATACAGTTATATTTATCAACCTAAATTAGACTGTGCTACTAATGAAAAGTCTTTATAAAGGCTCGCACAATTAAGATAGAAATAGTATCGCTACCAGCCTCCACAGCCTTGAACTATAGATGGCTATTTCACACATTTTTGCATTCCCAGCAGATATATATGTATACTATACTCATATTTGGTAAGTAAGTAAGTATATAACATCCCAACATGATAGCACTGCACAAAGCATAGCCTCCCATTAACTATACATGGTGGCCATGAATGATGAAGGACTATAAATGTACACATAGGCTATTAGTAGAAATATAACACTAATAATGAAGATAAAACAATTAATTATAATAGTTATACTCTCTCTCTCTCTCTCACTGTGAGTCATAGATCAATGGATTATTAGGAGTAAACAAAAAGACACAGCCTAAATTCTCCATGCAAACTATGTTTAAATTTTAATGGCATAATTACAAAAGGCATGTACATGTACATATACATGTACATGCATATGTGCATGTAAATGTACATGCACATATACATTTACATGTATATGTGCATGTAAATGTACATGTACATATACATTTACATGTATATGTGCATGTAAATGTACATTTACATATACATTTACATTTATATGTACAAGCAGCCAAGCACACATACATACATCTACTGTATCTACTGTTGAGGTTGTACCACAACAAAATAAAAGGACACTACCTACATGTGAATTCTCATTAAAAACTGTTCAAAATGGCCCTACCCTAACACGCTGTACTGTATTGTACTGTATTGACTAACTGAATGGATTATATTCCAATTACCTTGTGCTATATAGGCCGATAGCTGTACAGCTATTTCAGGTGTGCATGGCAGCCTAAGGAAATGTTAGCAGTTATGACAGCAAACGAGATAAAGTGCAATAATAATCAAATAAAAGGAACAATTAATCAGTCAGCTGCATTTAATTATATACCTTGCATCTACAAAGTCTCTTTTAACCTGCCAGTACATTTGAGTCCTGAAAGCAAGAGAGAGAGAGGGGGGGAGAGAGAGGGAGGGAGGGAGAGAGAGGGGGAGAGAGAGAGAGGGTGTAAAGAGAGAGGGGGAGAGAGAGAGAGAGAGAGAGAGA